CTGTAAGTAATTAGGATATCATGTAAATAGGAAATAGAATATTATGTAATTATTATAGAATATTATGTAATTACTATGACATTTATGCCTCCTATTATATATAATGAGCTTCGATGTGTAATTCAAACACACAGATTCAATCCAACCTTCCTCTTGTTCTCTCATTATTCAAGAAATACCATAAATATTCTAAAGTGGGCCCCTTTGGGGGTAATAAGTAGTTAGTAATTAGTTTCCTACTTTCCTGCCAAGTAACATTAGTGGAATAGGTCAGTAATTAGTTTCCTACTTTCATGCCAGTAACATTAGTGGAATAGGTATTGATTGTTAGTTCCACTCCTTATTATTAGCATTCAGTTTCTCAATTCTTTGCTGTATATATTCGTGTAATTGTTTACCACATCAACATAGAATCATCAATTCAAATCCCTTTTCTACATGGTATGGTTGAATTAAAATTTTTTTTCTTCAAACCACATTCACTCCCATGGCTGGCAATATCTCCCACCTACTGGCCCTAGCCAATTCATCATCTTCCCAGATCAATTTTCAACTTCCTCCAATCAAAATCACTCTTGACAATGAAAATCACTGCCTTTGGAGCACCACTATCATCTCTGCTCTCGAAACCTTTGATCTTGAGTCTCATTTACTGGCACCAAATCCACCGCCACAGTCTCGCTCCATTGCTGCTGACAATGGAACAATCACCCAAGAACCCAACCCTGAATATCTCGCCTGGAAGCGTCGCGATAGGTTGGTTCTGCTGTGGCTAAAATCAACTCTCTCCGACAGGGCGCTCGCCATCGTTGCTCGTAGCACCACCTCCCACATGGCCTGGACAGCACTCCAGAAAATTTTCCAGGCGCAGACTCGTGCTCGGCGGATGTCGCTGAAATTGCAATTACAATCCCTACCTAAGGGGTCTCTCTCTATCATGGAGTACGTCGAGCGAAAACGCTCAATTGCTGACTCCCTCGCTGCAAACCTGCACCCTGTTTCTGATGAGGACCTAATCGGTCACATCCTCTCTGGGCTAGATAGCTCTTACGGCGCCTTCGCCACTGCATTCATGATCCACAGTGATGATGCTTCTGTTGACGATCTGGTGGGCAAATTGCTTCAGGAGGAAGCACGACTCGCTCACGAACTGGCTCGCCAATCCACCATCGCTCCCTTGGCTCCTTCATCTCCAGCACCAATCTCATCTGCCCACGTCGCCAGTCGGCAATCTGGCCGGTCATACAATTCTGGTGGCGCCTATTCTCGCGGGGATTCCAGGAGCGACACTCGTGCAGCAAACGGTGGTGAGTTCCGCCGTCGCCGCCCCCAGTGCCAATTATGTGGGCGTCCAGGTCACGAGGCTGTTGATTGTTGGCAGCGTGATAATCAGATTGATTTTCCCTCGCGCAAGCCCAACCCACGCAATACATCAAAGCAGGCTCATTATGCGTCTCAGGCTCCGTCTTCAAGTGCCATCGATCCTTCTTGGTATTTCGACACCGGTGCCACTGATCATGCTTCTCCAGATTTTCAGAAGCTGACCATCTCTGATGACTACAAAGGCAATGACAAGCTGCAAGTGGGCAATGGTAACCTTTTATCTATTTCTCACATTGGCATTTCTACTTTACATAATTTGCGCTTGCCTAATGTTCTCATTGTTCCTAAACTCACAAAAAGCCTTCTCAGTGTATCCAAATTTACAAAGGATAATAAGATTTATATAGAATTTTGGCCTTCTCATTGTCTTGTCAAAACCTTTCAGGGTCAAACTATACTCCGAGGGGGCATTAACAACGGCCTCTACTGCATTAACTCCATTCACAATAAAGCTCGACCAACCCTGGCTCTCACCGGCATCCGTACGTCTGTCCACGGCTGGCACTAGCGGCTTGCCCATCCTCATGAACCTCTATTGCGTCGTCTTATTTCCTCATTTAATTTACCAATTTCTTCAAATAAATTTCCCAATGTCTGTGACTCTTGTCAACTTGGAAAGAGCCATCGATTTCCTTTAGCATCATCTCATATTGCGTCGTCTACTCCTTTTGAACTGATTTACTCTGATATATGGGGTCCATCTCCCAAATTTTCAATCAATGGAAATCGGTATTTCGTTTTGTTTATTGATGATTGCACCAAATATGTGTGGATTTATTTTCTATCGCACAAATCACAGGTTTTCACTACTTTTGTGCAATTTCGTACTATGATTGAAACACAATTCAATGCAAAAATCAAACATCTTCAATCCGATTGGGGGGTGAATTTCGCAATGTCTCTATTTTTTAAAAACAACACGGTATTTCTCACCGTATTACATGTCCATACACACAAGAGCAAAACGGGGCGGTTGAACGACGCAATCGAATCATCATTGAAAAAGGCCTCACTCTTTTGGCTCAATCATCTTTACCTCACGAATTTTGGGAACATGCTTTCAAAACTGCAACTTATCTCCACAATAGAACCATTACCCCCACCTTACACTACCATTCTCCATATCAACAATTATATCACAAAGATCCAAATTATGGTTTTCTCAAAACCTTTGGATGTCTTTGCTATCCTTTTCTTCGTCCATATAACAACCACAAAATTGATTTTCGTTCTCTTCCATGTGTGTTTATTGGTTACAGTACTTCTCACAAAGGATATCTCTGTTTTCATAAACCTACTGAGCGTATATATGTTGCAAGGCATGTTGTTTTTAATGAGCATATATTCCCATATTCTGTTTCTTTACATAATTCGGCGTCTAACTTATCTACTCCTGCTTCTCCAGAATTAAATTCTGATTTGTTAGAGCAAGCTGCTGGGCTGCCCACACCTTCGGCCACGTTCCAAACTGCACCTACAATTCAGCCCTCACTCACAATTCATCCCACTTCTCCGCCAGCCCCACAACAACATCAACAACATGTTCCTTCATACTACAGACCAGCCCAATCTTCCACTCACCCCATGACCACACGAGCCCAAACCGGCTCTCTCAAACCAAAAATCCTAGCTGCCACTCTTAAACCTGAACCTGATCCTCGTACATACAAACAAGCCGTCAAACATAAACATTGGCAAGATGCCATGACTGTAGAATATAATGCCCTTGTGAAAAATGGTACTTGGTCTCTTGTCCCTTGTCCTACTAATGTTAATGTTGTGGGTTGTAAGTGGATTTACAGGACAAAGCGCAAATCCGACGGGAGTATCGAGCGTCACAAAGCTCGATTGGTGGCACAAGGTTTTAGTCAGCAAGCAGGTAAAGACTTCTTTGAGACGTTCAGCCCAATGGTTAAGTCAACAACCATTCGACTTGTCTTGTCCATTGCCTTATCCAACCAATGGTGTCTTCGGCAATTGGACATCAACAATGCATTCTTGAATGGTGAGCTCTCCGAGGTTGTCTATATGCGTCAACCAAAGGGTTTTGAGGATTCTCATCAACCTGATCATGTCTGTCAATTGCGGAAGGCTCATTACGGGCTCAAACAAGCACCCAGAGCTTGGTTTACCAAGCTTAAGCATTACCTTATCACACAGGGCTTTCGGGCTTGTCAATCCGACACATCCTTGTTTGTTCATCATTCTGCTGCTGCAACAATCTACATCCTTGTATATGTAGACGATCTGCTCATTACCGGCACAGATTCAGGTTTGATTAATAACTTTATCATTAATCTTAACAAGGTGTTTGCTTTAAAGGATCAGGGAGACTTGCATTATTTCCTCGGTCTTCAAATCACACGTACTAGTTCTGGGGTACAACTCACTCAAGAAGGTTATGTTAGAGATATTCTGGAGTCCACCAACATGTCTGCTGCTGCTCCTATAACAACACCAGCTGACCCACAACATCGTCTAGTCAAGGCGGGTGAACCATTTGATGATCCAGCCTTATACAGACGCAATGTCGGTTCTCTCCAGTACGCTACAATCACCCGGCCTGATATTACGTATGCGGTGAATCGCGTTTGTCAATTTATGCATTCCCCGACACTTGATCACTGGCGTGCTGTCAAAAGAATACTTCGCTATCTTGCTGGTACTCTGTCACACTCTCTCCACTTCAGTCCAACTCAAGCAACTTCTTTTTTAGCATATTCAGACGCGGGTTGGATTTCGGATTCGGACGACAGCCGCTCTCAGTTTGGATATGCAATCTTCCATGGATCTAATCTCATCAGCTGGACTTCTCGCAAACAGAAGGTTGTTGCTCGCTCAAGCACTGAGGCGGAATATCGATCCCTGGCATACACCGCCGCCGAACTGCTTTGGCTCAATCTTCTTGCTTCTGAGCTTCATGTGCCTATTACTGGTCCTCCGTTGCTTCTCTGTGACAATGTTGGTGCAATTTTCTTGTCCAAGAACCCAGTTATCAGCACACGGTCCAAGCATATTGCGCTAGATTTTCACTTCCTTCGTGACCAGGTTGATTCCGGTACTCTCAAAATTGGCCACGTATCATCCGTTGATCAGCTAGCCGATATATTCACCAAACCACTTTCCAAAGATAGAGTTTCTTTTCTTCGTTCCAAGCTTCACGTTCTTCCGAATCATCAGCTTGCTGGGGGATAATAAGTAGTTAGTAATTAGTTTCCTACTTTCCTGCCAAGTAACATTAGTGGAATAGGTCAGTAATTAGTTTCCTACTTTCATGCCAGTAACATTAGTGGAATAGGTATTGATTGTTAGTTCCACTCCTTATTATTAGCATTCAGTTTCTCAATTCTTTGCTGTATATATTCGTGTAATTGTTTACCACATCAACATAGAATCATCAATTCAAATCCCTTCTCTACAGGGGGCAACAAGAAAATTGATCTCACATAAGAGCTCCATTATACATTTGTTATTGTGATCTCCAATTTTTGTTTTCAAAACATTTGACACCCATATCTTATTGGACCTGTATTTCATATATACTCGTCTTTGCTAATTAACCGGTAATGCTTTAAATAAAACCCATAGAATCTAAGCATTGGCTTGCTTAGTTGCGAATGAACACCTCATCACGCTCTTCCTCACATAAACTCTCCAAACTTCGGGTCCATTATGCTTGTCTAAGCACATGTTGTCACTTACTGCCCTATTATCGTGTTTCAGGGCGCTTTTATGCTTGTATTAAAAAGGTAAATCTGTCCTCTTGTACCATTGCAGGTGCTATGTTCGGCTGTACTTGTAAATCTGGATCGAGATGATCCACGGGAGGCATTTTTAAAGAGAATAAATTGGAACATGGATATTATCTGGAATTTCTTCTAGTAAACAAGTGTTTTCCTGAACTTGTCTCCAATGATATTGTTTTTTTTTTTTAAAATTTAAATGTACAGATTTACTGATTACCATGTTTGGTGATATTGTGTATAGTTTCCTCGTGGCCCCTGAATTAAAATAGTTTAACTTTAGTGGATTTGATCTTTGTATATATAGCTTTTTTGTAGTTTAAACGTGAATATTATAATACCTTAATATTCTTGAGCTTAAGGTTTCTTACTGTGTTCCCTTTTTTGTTTGGAAGATAGAACTTTGTATTTTCAGATTTGCTGACTTGAATTGAGGTTTAAGGTAGAATTCATGTCTAGTATAAATCCATATAGCTCTTGACCAAAAGATGTTTTGAATCATCTACTAAGGCAGTTTTTCCCCGCTTAGAATAGGAAATCACGCGTCTTTGAGAGAAGAATTTGACATGATATTACTACAAAACTAATGGTATTAACAAACAGAAAATCACAACATTAGAGTAAAGCATCAACATTGATACTCTTTCGAGGTGAGTAGTTCTTAATATTCTTACCTTAGGTAATTCCGGCCTCTCACCACCATCTCTTAAGCTATTAAGTGGTTCAGGATGTTGGTTTTCAACTATTGTATCTTTATGTTAATTTTAAAAACACTTCTAGTAATTAAGTGTTCTCCATAGGCACGTTTTCTTTTGAACAAGGCAAAATGCATTAATAAAATAGAGCACTAGGGCATAGGTACACCAGTTTGCCATCAAACTGCAAACATGTACAAGCTCCATCAGAGCTGACCCAGCACCAAAATATACATCATAATAAAAACAGAATGAGTAATCTAACACACCTATTGAACATTATGTAATAGAATGACAACAACCTCCAGTTTTTAATTGTTTTTAATTGAAGATAGTCATACTCTAAATTTTATTCTGAGTTTTTCACCTGCATTAGTATAGAATGATTATTTTATTTGATCATGTATTTCATCAATCAAAAGCATCCATTCATCAGGGTTTAGGTGAAAGGTTTGAGTTCTGACATTTTATCTGGTCTTGATGACATTCATTTGGTCATCTGATGATTAAGAAGTCAAAATGTTTGACTGTTTTAGTCTCTGTGTATCATCAAAACCATTGCATCAAGTCTCAGAGGTTCAAATGGATGAATAGTCAAGAGTACTGATTTCATATGTTTCTTTGTAGATTTTTGGATGCCCTTTATGATTGAGAATTAGAAGTAAAAAGTCCAAGAGTTGACTACTTTGCTTTTGGTTTTCTAGTCATAATACATAGTCATTTTTTGCATCACGTCTCAGATCTTAGAGGTCCAGATGGATGATTAGTCAAGAATATTGATTTAATTTTTTTCTTTGTAAATCTTGATTGTCATTTATGTTTGAGAATTAGAAGTAAAGAGTCTAAGAATTGACTACTTTGCATAGATTCTCTAATTCTCCAGTATCATTGTCATTCATCGGTTTATTTTAGAATGAAAATCAAAATTTAAAGATTGATTACGTTAATTTTTATTGCTAGTCCATTTGCTTGTTTTTTATTTTTAATTTATCATTATATATTTAAGAATAGGTGAAAAGTCTAAGAGTTGACTTTTGACCTTTTGTTTATTAATAACTATTTATAACATTAAGGGTTCCCGAAAATTATCCATTTATCGAAAGACATGGTCGCCTCCTAAACTTGGTTACCTCCAACACTGATGAAGACATGATGAAGGTGCTCTTCCAGTTCTTTGATCCTCTACACCATTGCTTCACCTTTCCTGATTATCAACTTGTGTCAACTTTGGAAGAATTCTACCAACTCTTGAGTATTTCCTTTCTCAATCAACTACCCTTCAACGGTACGGAAAGAGATCCAAAATCAGAAGAGATTGCTCAAGCCCTACACTTGCAATCATCTGATGTCACAACTAATTGGGAAACAAGGAGGGTGTCAAAGGTTTCTTAGCCAAGTTCTTGTTTGAGAAAGCTCAAAACTGTTGGAACTCCTTGGACTTGCAAGCTTTTAAGGAAATTGTGGCTCTCCTCATCTATGAGATGGTTTTGTTTCCAAACCCTGACCAACTCATAGATGTAAACGCCGTCAAAATCTTCATGTCTCCTAACCCAATTCCTACTTTGTTAGGAGACATCCTACATTCATTTCACACTCGCACTATGAGGAAAAGGGGTATTCTCATGTGTTGTACTCCTCTCTTGGCAAGATGGTTTATTTCGCATCTTCCCCAATCTGTATTGAAGAACGAGCAAGGTTCAAGGTGGTCACATAGGTTGATGACGCTCAGATATTCATTGGTGTTTCTGATCTTTGGAGAATGTTACTATCGTCAACTGTGGTGGAGAATTCTCTAATGCCTCCTTACTTGGAATTAGAGGAGGCATCACCTACAACCCCTGCTTAGCCTTAAGACAATTTAGTTACGCCTTGATCCACATGAGATGCTTATTCAAGGGTTGATATTTGACTACGAGAATGATGATCAAGGTTACCGCCAGAGGTTTATCCGAGCTTGGAGGATGTTGAACAAGGTAGATAGCAAGACATTGGAGCATAAGAATTCTATCCCTCTTGAGCCTTATCTCAAATGGGTACGAGCTCGTGCTCAAAGTCTATCCCTCCCGGTCATCAAAGAGCCTGTTGTGGAAGGAGATGTCCCACACACTATCCTACATCGTGACATGCCCACCTCTCTCGAATACTTGCAAAGGGATTAGATACAACTTAAGGGGGAGCGAGACACTTTCGAGGCCCAATTCTACGCCAGCAAGAAGAAAGTTCTGGAACTCACCAAGCAGCTTCATGAGGGGCGGAGTCTGAACGCCTACATCGCACCAAAGAGGAGGCGTTTAACTTTTTTATCTTTTTCTTTGTAAGCCCAAAGAGGCATGATGCACTCAAACTTTGATTTATTAATATAACGTGTGTTCCTTTTTGTCTAAAGCAAATTTAAATATCTAATTTCCTTGAAATCATTGCATATGCATCTTCATTCATCATCACATAAACAAACTTCTTACAACATGCCTCCTCATCTTTCTACTGTTTATTTCAGTAAGATGAATCTTGAGCAGACAATAAAATATCTCCAGGCGCATAACGCCCAGTTTCAACAAATGTTCTTGATTATGGACAAAGGACAAGAGGATTTGAAAACTTTGCTGATCGAAGAAAAGAAGAAGAAAGCAAAGAAATCAACCGGTGTTTTGAATTTAGGAAGAAGGTTCCCAGGGCCAGCCAGACGGACCCTAGACTTCGCAACATCATCTGGTGAAAAGGATAATCAAGAAGGGAAAAGCAAAGAAGTGACTGACCATCCATAATCTGAAGAGGAAGAAGAAAATGATTACTCTGAAGAGCAGTATCCTCCGGCTGACGACAAATACAAACATCTGGAAGAACGTCTAAATGCAATGGAGATTCAGAAAGTGCTTGGGCTGGACTTTGAGGAGTTGGGTTTGGTGTTTGGGATTGTTATTCCACCAAAGTTCAAAGCACTTGTGTTTTCTAAGTACGACGGGGTTTCGTGTCCCAAGATGCACCTCCGATCTTATGTGAGGAAGATACAACCTCACACTGCTGACAGAGATTTGTGGGTCTACTTCTTTCATGATATTCTATCCGGGACTCAGCTAGATTGATTCTATCAACTGGAAAGGGCCAATATCCACAATTAGGAAGACCTTGTAGCCGTTTTTTATAAACAATATCAATACAACACAGACCTTGCTCCCACCCATACTCAACTCTAAAGTCTGACTATGGCTTCGAACGAGGGTTTCAAAGACTACGCTCAGGAATGAAGGGACTTAGCAGGAAGAGTCCAGCCTCCTCTGTCTGACAGGGAGCAAGTAAACATGTTTTTGGGTACCCTGTTTGGTCCTTTCTTTAATCATCTAATTGGAAGCTCCTTAGCAGGCTTCACTGAATTAATCTTGACCGGGGAAAGAGTGGAAACTGTGATTAAGAGTGGGAAGATCCAAAAGGACGCATCCTCTAGTGCCGTGAGAAAACCATTTATTGGGAAGAAAGAGGTTGGTGATGTGTACCCTCAAAGTAATCAGGACAGAACTGAACACCGTCCAATGATCCCTAAGCCTGCACCTACTCAACAAAGGAATAACCAGCCTAGAATAGAAAGACCGGTAAGACAATTTACCCGGATAAATATGATGATGTCTCAAGTCTTGCCACATTTGTTGAGATCTAATCTGGTAATTTTGAAGGAAGCCCCGAAGAATCCCAACACCACCTCCCCTCATTACAACCCTAATGCTCGTTGTGCTTACCCATCAGAAAGTCCAGGCCATGATACCAACAACTGTTGGGCTTTGAAAAACAAGGTGCAAGACCTTCTCAAGGCAAAAGAAATTAAATTTGATGCTCCTGAGATCCCAAATATTACCACCGCTCCTATGCCCAAGCATGGCCATGATGTTAACGCGTTTGAAGATGATGTGTTTGTTACTATTGTTGATGATCTTATTACTCCTCTCCTGACTGTCAAGAGGATCCTGTTGAAAGCCGGTTTATTTCCGAGCTGTGGCGACGGCTGTCACCTCTGTTTATCCCTACCAAGTGGTTGTCATTTATTGAAAGCAGGTGTCCAGCGCCTGATGGATGACAGAAGAGATTTTGTTTGAAAAGACTCCCGTTCCAACCATTTCTTACAAATATGTTTAAATAGTAACTATTTCCGCCAATCCTTGCAGGGTCTCCACCAAAAGACCCGTTAGGATTACATCTATTCATAAGGTGACTCCACTGATAATTACTATGCCTAGACCAATCCCGTACTCATTAGATAAAACTGTCCCCTGGAACTATGGGGGTGACGTCTACTATCACGGTGTCAAGCAGGATTGGCTGGCTGATGAAGACTCGATTTTTGAGAAGGCCAACCCCGACACTGGCAACATTGCGGGAACCAGCAAAGTA